AACTCAGTCCTCAGTTCTTATCTCGCTGGGCCTATGACACACTGAATTACTGCATCCTGCCGTTCTGTGGTCTATGTTATAGGCATCCCTGGTAAAGTGCTTCACTGGGCATTCCTTCCTTTATGGGTTCTCGCAAGGATAAACGTCCTAATTCAAACCCCTACACACAGAGGGGACTCAGGGCTTGAGGGTTTTATCCACTCCGATGGCTTTTCACATCACTTCTATGCAGACGACTCCCAACTATTCATTTATTCCTTTCAAATTACCCCACTGACTAAATGCAAATCTTTTCTAACACCTCTAACACCCTAACATGCCAAACTAACATTTACTGTGTACTGTGGTGTGCTTCTTTACCTGATCTCTGTTTTTGAAGAGATGAGGCACCTTGCACTTGCTGGTACTGTACTGTAGCTAGTGTTGGCCCTAAAGCTGTGATTCACTTTGGATAAAAGTGTCTGCCAAATTAGTAAAGGCAAAGTTGAGCTAGGTTTCCATAAAGATGGAGCAGACCCAGGAGCTTCTTGGCAATTCTTCTAGATACAAAAAACACTTCCACGACCTGAGAGGTTGAGTACTACATGATATAAACATTACAGTGAACATACAGCGATCTGAGAGCTGGAATAATGAGCTCAGATTTATTTGTCCCTCATCAGTATGCTGGACATTGTTGGGAGACTATTTGGTTTTCCAGCAAAGTACCACTTTGGCCTCACAGCTTTACTAATACAGTCCATCTTAGACTGCAAAACATGATTCACTTAAATCAACCTCTACTGCTTACTTACATGACTATGATGTGAGTGTGTTTCTCACATTTTCTGTCCTGAATTGACCTGCAGCAAAGCAAATAATCTAAATTTATGATGCTCTGTGATCACCACTAGAGGGTAGCAAATATGCATTAGTGCAACAGCATGTCTATGTAACTGCACCAATAAAACATACATATTGTGTTTCACTCTTCTCTCATGTGCCAGAAGAAGGTAAAAAGGCATGTGAGATATATCTAAACTCTGGAAATGAAAAGACAATTCAAAATTATGAGGTTTATTTTTGGTCTTGTCCAACTCACTGCTATTTGCAGTAAGTTTCAAACACATCCAGACTTCTTAAAATATTTGAAAAGGGGTTAGATTAAGTGTTTGATTGTGTTGTTAAGAGGCTGCAAACTAACTAGAAACAGAATATGATGCAGAAGTTTGATATCATGTATGATGTATGGTATCACAGATGTATGGTAGTTTTATCCATTGATTTATATTTCTGTTTGACTGTTCATTAGCCCAGTTACAAACACAGGTGAAATTCTACACAGGGCAACATTCATTAAAACACTACACGAGTGCAAATTATCAAAACACGGTCTCCCTCAAATATACACGACCTTGTTTTGAAAATCATCCTTTTTTTTTTCCCCGTGTACTTTTCTCCTCTTTTTTTTTTTTCTTTACACAATATGTACAGTCGTCTTTCACACAGTCACGTCAGTAGCGACACATCAGTCTTCAGACTGCTCGCACGTCCTGACTCAGAAATGGACAGCAGGAATATCACTGCCGTTGTTGTCAGAGAGCTGTACACATCTTTGATACATATATTTGTGTATATGTATTGAGTGTCACTTTTGGACTGGCGTGCAGAGCGTAGAGCATTCAGGCTCGTCGAGGCTATGGAAGGTCTATGGACAGGTTTCCTTTGGCTCTGGGGGGGGGGGGGGCCCCCCCTCCAACTCACCTTTATTACAGACGCAGACCGGCTCAGCCCACGTCCATGCATACAGAGTAAGTAGAGCGGTGTTTAATGTCGAGCACTCGAGC